AGAAGCAGCAGTAGCAGTGGCAGTAGCAGTAGCAGTAGCAGTAGCAGTAGCAGTAGCAGTAGCAGTAGCAGTAGCAGTAGCAGTAGCAGTAGCAGTAGCAGCAGCAGCAGCAGCGGGAGCAAGCAGGGGCAGCAATATCGAATGCTGGACCTGCTGTGCAAGGCTTCTGCTAAAACGCAAGTCTGGAGAGCCTCGCCGCAGAACATCAGCATGCGGAAGAGAAGTCCTCTGCAGGTTCGTGAGCACGTCTCGAAGCAGGCACCATGGACGAACCCAAAGGTAGCCTACTTGCTCTGCAGAAATCCCGCTCAAATCTAGTTCACCCAGTACTACGTTTCTCTTTCTCAAGTCTGCGTCCTGGCATTGTAACCTCAAGGGTAATCCAGATAAAGGAGCAGTACAGGTCAATAGCCAGTCTGTAGATGAGATGCTGAAAACCAGGACCCCGCGGCTACCTACACAGCTCCGAACAGACTCCGAACAGACCTGACCCCAGCCCCTCAAACCACGCATCTAGTCTACAAGTCAACAGGGAAGTGAAGTTTCGCAGCTAGTTCGAAGCAAGACGTTAAGGAAATATGCTGGATGTAGCTTCTGGCAACCTCATTTAAACAATCTCCTGAAGCAAACTCCGAGTTGTAGATCGCGCAATAGTACTCCTCAACCTAACACCATCATCAACAGCAGCAGTGTCACCATCACCATCACCATTATCGTCAGCACCATCATGTTGCCAACAACAAAAACGATAAGGCCACCCTGAAAAGGAAGGTCGCCTGGCTCCCTCGCGAAGAGGTCCATGGAAGCTGCCTTTGTCCATCGGCGACCTAGTGGGCTGTCCGCCTCGGGCTTTCAGAGGCTTCGAAGGTTGGAATACAGGGGCCTAAATGATTGGCATAAGGCTTGGGGGATAACATTTGCAACATCTTAAAGGGCTTGGCGGAATGTTAGTCGGGTTTGAGTTCCGGAACTGTAAGCCTTCACAAACATTACCAATGTGACAAGCAACAACAGTCAGCTGCATGCGTTTCGAAAAAGTATCCCTGCATTCAATCTGCCATTCGTCTCGCAATTCTGGTTCCGGTACCACAAGGAGCCTCTGGCTCCAATCTCGCAGAATCTTCAACATGGCCTTCTACATTCGGTGCAACAACGCATGGCGCTGTAGACAACTGCGAACTGTCATGTGTATCTGTATTTGTATGTTTATGCGACAGATGCAATGAAAGAGCGAGAGAGAGAGAGAGAGATATATATATATATATAGGGTGATATACACACACACATACATACATACATACATACATACATACATACATACATACATACCTACACACATACGACTACCGATTTTTCTGATACACACATACGTCCATGACATCCATCCAGTCCATTGTGCAACCTGTGCGCTGCATCTGGTGCATTTAGGGTTTAGGGTTTAGGGGTTTAGGGTTTAGGGTTTAGCATATGTGATACGACGTTGGTGTTACATGACTTGGGTTTAATCCTCAACTCTACCAGCATACCCCTACATCCAGAATCCTAAATCCTAAACACCTACATAAATGTATCTTCAACCTTGAAAATCTTTAACCCTAGATCCGACAGAAACCTCGACCCTAAATTTTGGAAACCCAAACCTCTAAGTCCTTGCGCAAAAACCCCAGAACCCACAAGCCAATGGGGCTCCCTGCTGGAAGATGCTCCACCCAGGCTGGAACCTTCTCTTCGGGGCGTGGGGGTTGAGGATGCTTAGGATTTGTCATTTTGGGTTGAGGGCCTCAGGCAGAAGGGTTCAGGGTTTAGGGGATAGGGATTCGGACTTCGGGCAAAATGAAGTTGTTGGGGCTGAGGGTGCTGCCCTCCCGCCATACCCCCGAGGCAGTCGCCGCACCACCAGGCATGGTGCCCCAGTCGGTCAGGGAGGACAAAATCCGAGAGGCCTCTGAGAGGTAGGGTTTAGGGTTTAGGGTTTAGGGGTTTAGGGTTTAGGGGTTTAGGGGTTTAGGGTTTACTGGGGTTTAGGATCTAGACGCTTTCGGACAGGGCTCTGTAGGATTCAGAGCTGTAGGGGTGTTCAGGGTTGCAGAGTTGCTCGAGCTCTAGGGCTCTCTCTCTCTCTCTCTTTCCTTCTCTCTCTCTCTCTCTCTCTCCCTCTGTAAAAATATATGTGTATATATATATATATATATATGGGATTTTTAGGTTTAGGGCTTTAGGCCCTCACGAAGGCGGCTAGGACTTGCAGGGCTTGTATTGTAGGGTTTAGCGCTTGCGGAGCCCGTGGGACTACTTTCGGATTTTGGGGGGCTTGGTGTTGTAAGGGCTTTCATGGATTGATGGTTTTGGGGGTAGGGTGTGATGGGCTTCATAAACCTTAAACCCCTAAACCCTAAACCCCCAAACTGTGGACCCTAAACCCCTTCATGTGTTACGGGATTTAAGCGTTTTGGAGATCTGGAGCCTTTGAGTCAAGGGATTTCGGGAGCTTGAGGGGCTCTTGCTCGGCTTCCAGGCTGCTTTTGGGCTTTGGGTTCAGGGTTTTTGGGTTCAGGGCTTAGGGAGTAGTGTGTCATGCAGGGGCCTTAATAACTAGAATAGGCTTTGGGGGGTATCTTATACCATAATTATAATAAGGAACCCCCCAAAAAATAGTAGTGGTAATTATTTAGGCCCCCTACATTGCCCATAGGCCCCATAGTAGCTCCTTTTGGGGATTCCCTAATAGGATTCTAAATATGAACCCCCAAAAGGAACTACTTTAGGGCCTATGGGTAGAGTTGTAGAGTTTAGCATCTACATAGAGTTGTAGAGCTGGCGGAAGCGCACAAAGTCTTGCAGAGACGGGTCTGAGCTTAGTTGCCGAGGTCTAGTACCAGCGATGTAATCGTTAAAAACAAGGAGTTGGGTACATTTTAGTACACTTACCATAAGAAATCCTAAGGAATAGTATGATCAGCAAGTCTGCAAGACTGAGAGGCAGGGATTGCTGCAAACATTAGGTTGCCTCTCAGCAACCGGCTGCTCAAATTGAAACAGGTATCTTGCAGGGGGAACTTCTTTCGGAACCACCCCTCGCATGTTGCCTCAGTGGTTTGCAGAAAGTTTGAACATGGGTAGTTCTCTAAATTAGGGGCCCTTTTAGGGTCCTTTTTATAAGGGTGCCGTACTATTTTGGGGACCTAAAAAGGGACCCTAATTTAGAGAACTACCCACATGCAGCCTTCCTCCTATCAGCGAGCCCCGGCAGTGCTCTTTGCAGGCTGAGCCGTTTCAGTTCCAGCCTGGTAGTTCTGGAGGGAGCCTCGTGCCTCGCCAGGCGGATATGGAGATGGCGTGATACAGTTTACGAGGCTGCACTGGGCTTGAATGGCTAAACACTGCTGGAGAGCCGGGGACTGTGAAAAAGACTGCGCCCGAAGTGACAGACCTTAAGATTGCCACTGAAGGCAATTTGAATAAGATGACTCGCAGCCTGCAAATCTGGTCAAGATTACCAACAATTCGGCCGCACCTTTGCTGCATTTGCGCGCTGCAGTGCAGTGCTGAGGGGCGGCTGCGCCGTCTTCAATGGTGCAAACCTCAACTGGCTTGATTCTCAATTATTTTTGCTCTTCTTGTTGACAGCTCACAAGGAGGTACCGGTCAGAATCACTCCGTTCTTTCTTGTTCTTTTTCTTTTTCCTCTCTCTCTCTCTCTCGTTGGAGCGTTTGAGACACAAACCCCGGTAGAAGTTCAATCTCTGCACTTCTGCTGTCCAGGGCTTGGGGCTGCCACTTACGAGGCTTTCATGATGGCAGGAAGCCCGTGGAACTGCTAGCAAGCAGGACACAGCAGACGGGACTCTCAGAAACGAGGGACACCAGGTGACCACAAGCAGGATAGTAAGTATACGGACCCTAAATCAGGCATTAATTCCACGAAGCCCCAAATCAACACCCTAAACCCTAAACCTTAAACCCCCAAACCCCAAACCCTAAACCCTAAACCCCTAAACCCTAAGAGGTTTGCTGAGGCCGCCCACCCTTCTCGGAGCTCGCTGACGACGATCTCCGAGACAACCTCATCTCACGATTTAGGCTTGAGGGTTTACGGTAAGTTAGGGTTTAATAAAACTTGAGGTGAAGGGCCTCAGGGGTAAATGGCACTTGGAGTTTAGGATTTAAGACACAATGTTTGTCCTGAATGTCGGATGAAGAGAGGCCAGGAGCTGAGAAAAGAACAAAAACGATGCGGAAACTTCGGCCGTTGCTGACGATGTCGCTGCTGATGATGTCGGTGATGAAACATATGATGATGCGGTTGAGGTGATCGCGATGGTTCTGGCTTTTTAGTACTGGGTGCTACAACGGGTGTTGGTGGGGGAGCGCGAGCTTGATGATAACAACGACAGCGATTTGATGCTGGTGCATATGCTCGCAACGGCTACCGAAGTTGACGCTACGTGCAGTCGCAGCTCGCAATATGCCAACAAACTGCTGCGACTGCTGCTCCTGATGCTGCTGGTGCCGACGACGAACGCGGCTTCTCGGAAGTTACAAGTGCCCGTAACTAATCTTGATTTGCCCTAAGCCCCCAGTTACCTACTATTTAGGGCCTTAGGGGCTCTAGTACCTTATATAGTAGGTACTTGGGGGGTTAGGGTTGGAGACTGCCAACACGTGGTTGGCACCATCAACAGCTGTCAACATCTGTTTGGCATCTCAGGATGTTTGGCGTTTCGGGTACCAGCGCACTGTGGTAATGTAACAGCGAAGCTCATCCCAGCGCATCCAGAACACTTTCTCCTTGTCTCTGCAATGAGCGCATGTTCAAAGAAAAGCTATCCATAAACCCTAAACCCTAAACCCCATGGAGCTTGCCTACAGAGCGGGGAGTCCCAAGCTGTGGCGAGGTAATCCTCCGGATGCTTCACAACCATCTGGGTAGTTCTCCAAATTAGCGTCCCCTGTTTCGAAACCCAAAAGAAAGCGGCACCTGTATAAAACGGACCCCCAAAAGGGACCCTTTTCTTAGAGAACTGCCCATCACGTTTGCGTGCTGTGACATATGTACAGCAGATCGTCACTCGAACACTGGAGCCTGCACGCTGGTATGTCACAGCGAACACTTGGCCGTTCCAGGAAAACTGGCAGGCAAAACTATGTTAAGCATCTTGCCTTTGATATCGAAGCTAATGGGGGGCAGCCAAGCTGCTCATTTTGGAGCATCCCTTATGGGTAGGGTCCAAAGGTTTAGGCTTGCTTCGGATCCGGGATTTGCATCTTGGAGCAGGAATTGCAACGCAGTTGAAGGAGGATTTTCATGTTTTGCAGCCCTTTGAATGACCGCGAGTGTATACACTCACCAAAACCCTGTACACACTCACATAAATCCTTCATGAAAGCCCTACTTCAGCTGCCGATTTCCTGCATTCCCCAGCTCCTGGCATGGAACCTTCTTCGCAACAGAGTCTGCAGTGGCAGCATGCAGTCCCATCAGCATGAGTGCTCTTGCACTTCGGTAGCAAAGCGGGGCATAGTTTGAAGCACGTCCATATCACTCATATTGCGCCAACAGGCGCGTCGTCACATACTTCCTGGGCTGGCAGGAAGATCCTGAACCCTAAATCTTCTCCGCAGGCTAGCCCGCAATCCTGCTTTGCTACTTGGGCGTGACGACAAGAAAGGCGAATCGAGCAGCACTGCCTTGACAACAGACTCGATCATGCCCTATGGGACTGTGTTGTCTGATTCAAGGCAAGGAGGGACCATCTTGACCAGCGGGTTTAGGATTTAGGGGTTTAGGGGTTTAGGGTTTAGGGTTTAGGGGTTTAGGGTTTAGGGTCTAGGGTTCAGAACCACAAGCCTAGTGCACCGCGGCCCAAAACCCGATTAGCCAGCCCGGACCCAAAGCCTTGCACGTGAACTCGACTGTATAGTTCGTAAACCAATGCTTGTGTTCATGCGCACCTGTCAGTGAGTCAGGAATGTTCAGTTTTTATCCGATATTCGCGGATCGTGTAGAAACATAGACACGCTACGAAGAGCGTTGAACAAAGTCGTAGCGTTGATAGCTATAGGAGTAGAGGGCATCTCCAGTACTAGCTCGCAAGTTTTCTGTATACCTCTGTAGTAATGACAACTGCCCCACTGCGGCATGAGGTTACAGCGAGTAGACAACCAAGTATGCCGATGGTCAAGACCACGTCCGAGGAACCCGTACATATATACATACATATATGTGTAGATATGTTTCTACATATGTGGGTGTATATAATTATGAAAATATGTACATGTACATATATATATATATACATAAACATATTCATGAACCTGTACATACATATATAGCTTCTTAAACATGTGCGTACACATTGAAAGTTGAACCCTTACAGAACCACTCGTAAAATCCTATGGCGTCGTTGGAAACAATTACAGAACTCTTCATAGAGCCGTCTGTAAGCTCTTTTGCGGAAGCCTATCAGAACCCTTATGCTGCATTTATAGAACCCTTTGCAGAATCCTGATGGAACACTCATAGAAGCCGTAAGAACCCTACGGAACTACAGAACCCGAACCGTAGACCCTCAACCCTAAACACCCTGAACCCTACTAAACCCTGATTGTCCTTAGAGCGCCCTTTGCAGAGCCTCCAAGATCTTTTCATTAAGGAATATACCTGAAATCATGATAGGGATCCTACTATTATTTTACGGTATATACTCCTTCATTAAGGGATATTGGAGTCTCTGGGTTCCAGAATCCTTCCTACACCCTACTAAACCCTGATTGTCCCCCTAAACCCTAAACAACCCTAAACCCTAAAAAACCCTAAACCCTACACCCACATTCCTTCAGACCTGCACCAGGTCACCCGAGTCTGGCGCTGGTGCAGGCGCCCAGCACGAGGAAACAGGCCGGCCAGCAACCTCCAAGCAAGACCTGCAAGGGTTCTGGGGGTAGGGTTTAGGGTTTAGGGTTTAGGGTTTAGGGTTTAGGGATTTAGGGTTTAGGGTTTAGGGTTCTGGGGGTTCGAACCCTAAACCCTGGGTTCCTGTAGCAGGGTTTAGGGTTCAGGGTTCAGGGTTTCAGGGCTCAGGGTTTAGGGCTGAGGGTGCTGAACCCCCTAAGGCGGAAGGGTTCCAAAGCTCTACAAGGGCTCTGTTTGGGTACCTTATAAGGGTTTCCAGAAGATCCAAGTAGCAGTGTAGTCCTGTACTTCTGCGGCCCAAAATCTCTACTAAGAGCCGACTTACTACATCCTAAATTGCCCGAAACCTTCTGGGTTTGCTAGAGTTCCAAGAGGCTTCTGTATAGGCTTAGGCGAGTCTTACAACGGTCGATTACAAGGTTCTTTCGGGGGTTCTAGGGCCTGGGAGGGGGGGTGGGGGGCGGGATTTAGCGTGGTCAGGGGGCTTAGGATTACGGAGTTTAGGGTTTCAGCATTGAGGGGGGGGGGGGTTGAACCTTAAGAGATCTAGGAAAGGTTCTGAAGGATTGTTTTCCTCCAAGAGAGACCTCGGGTAGAGTGTAGGGTTTAAGGTTGAACATGCACTCAGGGGTTCTACTAGGGGTCCCATCATAAGAGTTCTATGACTCCGGGTGACAGAGCAGGAGGTGAAGGGGTCCAGGGTTCTGAACTGGTGTTGGCATATAACGGTTCCGAGCTCTGAACCTTAGTTGTTCCGGTCACGTCCAAGTGTGCAAGCAAGCGTCGTTCACCCACTGGCTTTCATGCACGAGAGTCTGGCCGTCGGAAGACACGCCTGTATTACCTCAGCTCGGGGATGTTTATGATGTATGGACGAATGGCCAAGTGTCTTGTCGAACTGCCTGTCTTGCCGTCTAAGATGCGAAAAGATTTAAAGTCTCGTGTAGTCGAACTTGGAATTCCAAACGAACTGAGCGAACCGAAAGAACACCTGAAACCCTAAACTCTCAACCCCAAAAGCCCGAACCCGAAATGCCCGAAACTCCGCAACGACATGAGAGTGTCGAAACGACGCGCTACAAACTGGACACCGAGCCCAAGTCACCAACACAGCACAGGCACATAATCATCTAATTGTGTCTCTATGCTGCAGTAGAGTCTTCAACATGAAAGACAAGAGTGATAGAGAGTGTGAGAGAGAGACAGGCGAACAGACTGGTAGACAGATAGACATAGAAACAGGCCAGGCAGACAGGCAGCCAGGCAGGCAGGCAGCCAGCCCGGCAGCCAGGCAGCCAGGCAGACAGACCGAGTGATATCTAAATAGATCGATGAATGGATACATGGGAGGGTATATACAGATATAGAGAGTGACATAAGTAGAGAGGCACGAGAAGATAAGATACGGTAAGATGATGAGATGAGTCAGCCAAAAGATGAGCAAGCCATACGTGTATGTGTATACACAGAAAACATCGGCATGCATACATGTACTCTGGTAGGGAAACATAGAGACACATACATACACACACACATATACATATATATATATATATATATACACACACAGGCGCGCAACACACAAACACACATTCCGGGCAAGACTCACAAGCTGTTGGCCGCTACGCCGACGGCCATGCCGGCGAAAACCAATGCCCAGTACATTGTGACAACAGCGCAGGCCTGCCCTGCGAGATACTAAGTTTGGGCTCACAAACCCGTCTTAGTGTTTAGAATAGGGCTTTGGGGTATGTTCTACTGTAGTCCTTATACGGAACCCGAAGGGAGAGCATTGGCAACTATTTGGGCCCCGATATTCTCGGCGTTATGCGCCCTAGCCTTAAGGTCAGCTTGTGGCAGGCCCAATGAAGGCCCAAACACAAACCTGGGTTCTCAGGATTTGCTTGTTTTGGGCTTTAAGGTGTGGAGCTTCGGGTTTAGGGTTGTTAAGGTTTGGAGCTTCGGGTTCAGGGTTTTAAGGTTTTAGTAAGTTTGGAGATTGGTGAACTGAGTCCATGTCGTCCGAGGATCGGAAGACCTTTCGGCGAGTGCTGCTTGGGAGGGACATGGGACTCATTAACTCTGGGTCCACGTGGTCCACGGCCACCTGCAACACCCAGGGCACCTGAACGGAGGTTTAGAGTTTAGGGTGTAGGGTTTAGGGTTTGAGGAAGGCAAGGTATAGAGGGGGATTCGCAGGATCGAGACTGTACTGGTTGGAAGTCAAACTCTGCTGACCCTGAATCCCTCAGACCCTAAATGCTTAAGCCTAAACCCTGATTACGCCCCTCAACCCTAGACCGTAGGCCCTAAACTCGAACTTATAGACCCTGGTTCGTTGGCCTCATAGGCTTTGGTGCTCAGGAACCCTCTTCGAAGCCCTTACTTCCATCTTTTTTTTTGGGAGCCCTGCCTGCATACAGGTGGAGATACAGGACACGAAACAAAGCGCCCCCAGGATCACGACTCCAGCATAAAGCCGCAGCCAGCTACATTTCGTAAAGCTCAAAAGCCTTGGCAACCAGGCACGGAAATTGACAAACGCACGAAAGGTTGCGCTCCGCTTCAAAGCGCTACTGCAGCTTCTGGTGGCTTGGCCTCCCACACATCTTAGCCAACCGGACCAGCTGAAAAGCACGACTTGCATAGCTGCGGGCGAGAGACAGGGCCAGCGCAGCCCAAAGCAACGCCAAAGCAGCATCAAGGATCTTGGGCCAGTAGACAGTCGCCCCCTGCCTTGGAGCATCGTCATATGGTCATAATTCATAATGTGGTAATATATATAGAGTAAGATGGTAACATAATCATGGTCATATACTAGTCGTAACATATTAGTATGGGAATGTAGCACAGGATGCATACCGGGAGCAGAACCAGTGTCTCGGCAGCATTTCCCGAAGACTCCCATCCATCAAAATGCAAGACCAAAAACACCGAAGCCCAAACCCTGAACCCTAAAGGCCCTACACCCTGAAAGCAGCAAAACCGGAGTGCCGGTAGGTGAGGCCGTCAGCGAGCAAGCCCAGAGCGGACAGACCAAAGGCCACGGCGGAGCCGCAACGTGGCTTCCAGCTCATCCTGAGATCAGACGGGGCTTAGATCAGAAGGGGCTTGGGGTTTAGGAGCTTTTTGGGATAAGGAGGCTCCTGCTGCAGGTCCTTCATGGTATGATAGGACTTCCAACTTCGCGATTTGGGTGACCGCCAAAGCTCATGATGTAACACAGCCCCAATGTGTCGGAGTTGTGGATTGCTGGATAAGCAGATTTCGTGAGTACATCGATCATGGCCTTTTAGTCTCACAGCTTCAATGTAGCAGTTCCGCTGCTGAGGCACCTGACATTGTCGAAATGTCAAGATAAATTTCAATGACTGCCTCCCAAAATGTCCAAGTACTAATGTAGTAGGTACTTCGTAGCTATTTGGGCCCCCGAAAGTACATACTATACTATACTATACTATACTATGCTATACTATACTGTACTATTCTATACCATACCATACCATACCATACCATACTATACTATACTATACTATACTATACGATACAGTACTGTGCGATAAAATACTATACTAATTTTACGGTAACTTGGACAATTCGGGTCTGAACATCGGCATAGCAGCAACAAGGCAGCAGCCGTCAGCGCTGCAGCACAGAGAAGCCTTGCGAGGCGGCGCCGTGGCGAAGACCCCGCCATAGCTGGAGAAAGGCTTCGCTGAGCGGGTTCAAAGCTAGTTTTCATGGATCCAGTTACCTATCTACCTGGTACCTACCCATGTACCGATCCAAGTACACGTACCTTTAGATGGAATGTGTGTGTGTGTGTGCATGTATGTACGTATGTGTATGTGCGTGTGCGTGCGGCTTTGCAGGTTGCGCTTGCTCCTCTCGAGGCCTTATGCATATTTTAACCCAAAGGGTCCAAGTACCAATGGGTACTTCGTAGCTGTTAGGGCCCTAAACCCTAAACCCTAAACCCTAACGATATATTGTTACTTGGACCCTTTGGCTACCTAATTAGTGGCTAGTGATTCTGTCGGCCACGGGTGTCAAACCGACGGAGGGTGACGGGGTCAGTTCAGGGTTTAGGGTTTAGGGTTTAGGGTTCTTGTTCGGGACTTGAGAATACGACCGCTCCTTCGGGATTTGAAGCTGGCACTGGGTTTCAGAGGCTCTGGAGTTGCGCCCTTTTGAAAGGGTTTGGAGCTCGGGGGCTGCGCGTGAGGAGTTGGAACTTGGAGGAGAGATTTACTTATCGGGACTCCACGTGATGTGCATCTGCATGTCTCACCTGTAGATGGCAGCTTCGCGGCAGACATTGAGGCGGGACTTTGTGTCAGCCTGGCTTAACCAGCGGCGGGTTTAGCCAGAACAGGGAGTGACATACCGGCCAGCTTGGTTTTGTAATGCGCGAATGTGGAGAACTATCTCAGGATGTGTTCGCCATGAGGCATGACCCTCATTAGTAAGCCGTCGAAGCAACAAAGCGCTGGAAAATAAGGACGCGGCCATCGGAAAAATTTCGATCTTGTCAACCACCTGGCTGGTAGAAGCAAGCCTTGAACTAGGACGATCTGCTACATTAATGTAGGGGCCATTACAATTAGAATAGGGTTTGGGGGTATATTATACTGCAAAAAAATAGCCAGAACCCCCCAAAATGGTATATAGATAATCATGTAGGCCTCTATATTCGGTGATATTGAAGCCTGGCCCACGATTGCGGATCGTTAACACACCAGCATCAAGCTCAATGGGTGCGAAAGGACTGGGCTAGCAGCTCACAGCGGCGGCAGGTCTTGCGATGCCGGTGTCAGATGAGTTTAGCTCTTTATATATGTATATATATACACACACACATATGTATGTATACGTATGTGTCAGTTGTTGCTCCGTGTGGCCGAGGGGTAGAAAAACCCCTGAGCAGGGCGGGGGCTTTTCTTTGGCCCTGTCCACATTGGTGCACGAACAGAACAAGCCTGAAGACTGTCCCTGGACTCCATCCACACTCGCTCAAAGAGGTGCGGGCCGCAACGGCCACCCAGGGTGCAGAAAGAGCCTTTACGGAAGTACCCCCAGAAAACCCGACCCGGCGCGAAAAAACCCAGCCCATACATCTACAGTACATACATAAATGTGTGTGTATACATACATGTGTTTGCTCTTTTGCATATATACATATTACTCACAGAGCATACTATATCTACGTGCACGATGACGTATACAAAATGCGGCTTGCTACGAAACCGTCCATCTTCAGCCGACTTTGAAGCATGAAGCCCAAGGCTCCACATAGTGCAAAGTAAGTACTTCTTATAATCTATAAAGTTCCGGGTTGGGGGTTTAGCTTGTTTAGAGCTTATAGGCCTTAAAGCCCTGAACAGGTTTTGTAGGCGTGATTCCCAGGTTTTGTAGGCGTGATTCCCAGGATCACAGCTGTGCCCGGCGCCTTGGCACAGGCGGGAAGCCGAAAAGTCAGTGAAACAGGCCTCGGCTTGCTTACTTTGTTGTTTAGGGTTTAGGGTTTAGGGTTTAGGGTTTAGGGTTTAGGGTTTAGGGTTTTCTTTCTCCGGCTGTTTCCCTGCAGCTCATCGACCTACTTTCGGGGTTTAGGGTTCGTGGGCTTTTGGCTCAAACGGGTTTTTGAATTCGGCTAAGGGCACTGTGCTTTGGGGGCGGAGGGGAAAGTGGTTTTGGGCTCAGGTTTTCGGTTTGAGGGCTTGCGGCTCAGGCTAACCGTTGCAGGCTTCCTTGCAGAGGGTCTGAATAGGGTGTAGGGTTTAGGGCTTGGGGCACGGTTTAGGGCTTGTAGACTTGCAGACTTCTTGGTTACCGTCTTTAGGGTTGCGTTCGCTCACCTTCACGGAGCATTGCTGGTCCATGCTAATGCCAGGAGGCGGAGGGAACGTATTTAGGGTTCAGGGTACGAAACAATCAATTTTGCAACTAAGGATTGTTTCCATTGCCCTGAACTTGGAAGGCTTTCAACACCCGAGAAACCACAAACCCTAAATCGCAGAACCATGAACCCAGGCACATGACAGCGACGCTCAACTCTGGGTGCCCGCACCGCGACGAGATTCGGCGGGCCACCTGGACCGATCGCCGAGAGTCTTAGGGTTTAGGGTTTAGGGTTTAGGGTTTCTGAGAGGCAAGACTGCAAGTAAATGCGACAACTGCTGAGAATGGCGATGATGACGACGACGATGCAGGTGACGATGTCCGAGCTACAGACTATGGCCATGGAGAACGAAGTGTCATGTGACTGGACCCATCAGCATTGAGGATTCGGATACAAGATCCTAAGTGTTCTGTTCCTGAACGAAGAAGATCCGAAAGTTTCTCTGGCGGGACCAAATTGAGAGGATCGGCGTTTGGAGCTTTAGGATTAAATAAATATAAATGAATGATTAAACAACAACAAATAAATAAGTATATATATATATATATATATATATGTGTATGTGAGCTGCACTAGCGCTTACTACAAGAGTCAATGTCCGTGCTAAACAGCCAAAGTGTAGGACCGTATATGAACCCTCAAAACACCCCATGCCGTGTGACTGAAAGCCCAGTCGCCTCAAGCGCTTATCCCGAAATCCTAACTCCGACTTCTAAACCCTATAAACCCTAAAACCGAGATGCCTTGAAACCCTACCCTAAACCCTAAACCCTAAACCCCTAAACCCTAAACCCTAAACCCTAAACCCTAAACCCTAAACCCGCCCTAAACCCGTGCTGCCTCGCTCCTGGGGGTGCGCTCGGTGACGCGGATGCGGTTGATGGCGACGAGCTCGGAGCCGTTCTGCATACAACTCGGGGTTGTTTCGAGGTTTCGCCGTTTCGTTTGGGGTATACCTTAAGAACCCAAAACCCACTTTTTTTTTATATTATAAACCCTAATATTGGATTTATAGGGACCCTACAAAAAAGTAGGTTTTGGGTTCTTAAGGTATTGGGGTTTAGGTTCAATTAGGGGTTTAGGGTTCCGGGCTCAGGATTTTGATTAGTTAGAGCATAGTTAGGGTTTGTGCCTTAGGGACAGAGGCTGTTGGGTTGGGGCAATTGGAGTAAGGGGCTTGTTGCGGGGGACGTTGAAGTGTTGTGTTTTTGCGGTCTGCCGGTGATGACTGAAGCTTTGAAAACAGACTCAACATCGCTAGCCGCTAAGTTCGACTCCTAAAGCCTGGACTTCCAGGGTTTAGGGTTTTTTTATATCACCTCTTTTCCTTCGCCTGATCAGGGTTCCGGTATACCGGGGTTTAGGGTTTAGGGCTTAGGGTTTAGGGCGAACTCATTATTTATTTTGGACACTCGACTCCGCCTCCATCTTGAGCGCAGAGGCCGGTGGATGGGTTGCACGCCTTGGAAGCGCCCCGTCACATGACAAATAACGGGGACACCTCGGTGATGGACAGCCGGGAGGACACGGTGCGGGGAGGCTTCATGACTTTCCTTGCATGGGCTCGAATTACAGTATATAGTGTTACAGTTACTACAATCGCGCTTATCATTACGGATTGCTATATGGCTCAAGCTCTAGACACTTTTGCCGCGTCAGCAGCACATGCCGAATCATCCTTGCTCGTCTTTACTTTTATAAGACCGACAGACTCGAGATGCAGAAACAGCACAGGCACATGTCATACGCACAGAGCGACGCGAGGGTCGGCCGTGCAGCGTCTAACTGTTCGGAATGAGACAAAACGGCCCTACCGGACTACCGGATTCGTGTTACTCCGAGATGCAGCTTCCAGGTGGATGTCAGTGCGCCATCGGTGCCCTGCGCGGTCTTTGCATGGCTCGGAGGCATCTGCTTTACTTCCACGTCGTGTACAAAGACTGGCCAGCAGTGTCAACATTGCAATACATTTAAAGCTTTCCCGCAATGCAGCATTTGTGACTCGCAATTGCGGAAGGTTACAACCTGAACATGAAGTCGAGCTCTTGTCCCTTGTAGCCACAAATCAAGAATTGCAGCCCTAAGCCCTAAACCCAAAACCCCTAAACCCCTAACCCCGAAACCTTAACCCTAAACCCTAACCCCAAACCCCTAAACCCTGAACCACGCTGCAAGAGTGATGCACGGAACGCCTCCAGAACAGGCTCTTCAAAGTCCTCGGTGCCAAATGGGAGTTTCCGAAAATTAGGGGTACCCTTTTGTGGGTCCTTATAATAAGGATCCTACTATTTAGGGTACTATATTAGGGTCCCCTATTTTCGGAAACTGCCAAATCGTATCCCATTTGATTGTGCATGCCCACGCCCATCATCAAGAGCCAGGCGCTGAGAATGCACGAGTGCTACCAGTACTTGTTCACTAAGCATGGAACTACTGGGATTGGAAGATGAAACTTTGCAACTGGAACTGACGACAATGGCTTTCCGAATGAACCGCGGCAGCACACCACAATCCACTACAAGTAAGATGGACATCGACAGATGCTGGACATGCATGCGTTGATGCAACGTTCCCTTCAGTTCCAGGTTGCCCGGCTGCAGAGAGTCTCACTCGGTTCTTGTGGACTCAGCAACCCCCATAAAGATCTGCGACTGAAATTGCAAGATCGCGAGCGAGGCTGGGGAGCCCTTTCTTCAGGTGCCGGAGAAACTTTTGAACGTCGTCCTGGAAAACTTGGGCCTGGAAGGCCTTGTGGCGTTTGCGGTCCTGTAGAAGCGATGTTCTCTGAAGTTGAGTCAGCTCCTCTTCGCGGTGCAACTGCCGGCGAAGCTCGTCTGCCATATAGGAGTCTCCGTGCACGCGAGTCCTAGGTGCGTTGCCCGCCTACATAGTTACCAATAGTGTTTCTTAGGGCCCCTCACGCGTGCCAAGCGAAGGCATTACGGAGAGCCATTGCGGCGACAGCCGCGGCTGTGACTCAGGTGCTTACGCATCCGGTCCGGGCAGCAGTGGCTACCCCAACGACGGTCCCTGACGTGCCCCTTGGCTCCCTGGAATCCCCCAGGACGAGCTGGAGCTGAAGCTACGCGAGGTCTAGCGAAGCGACGTGCGAAGCGACAGCGGCGTCGTGCTAAACCAAAGGCAGCTGCTAGCATGGCGGATGCGAAGAAGCCTTTCGCTTCTTCATGGGATGAGGTTCTGCAGCTGCTTACATCCGCATCGGGGATATGTGAGATGGATGCTGACATTGCAGAGCCGTCGGAGTGCAGAGCCGTGACACAGACCAAGCGGAGGCCCGTGCCACAAGTGGACCCACAATTCCTAGCAGAAATGGAATGTGAAAGTGAGACACAACCTCTTGGACGTGTAGGGACTTATTTGACCCCAGTTGTTTCTGCTACACATGAGGCCAACGGATGCAAGCCTAAGCCGGACCGTAGTCAGCAGCCTGCAAGAAGACGTCCGTACTAATTAGTCGGAGCCACCAGGAATCGACAATGATTCTATGTGCTGCTCGCTTTTGTGTGCGCCCTCGGTGTGCTTTGTTAGGAGGCATGGGCCAAAGCCCTGTGTGAAGGATGCTTCGGACCGCGTCGTGGCCGCATCACCCCAAAACCCTATTCTACTTGTTCAGGCCCCTTAATCCTGTCTCGTGCTTCTTGCATCTGCGCCGACAGCTGCCGGCCCTCAAACGTGCCAGTGTGGAGCCAAGTTCATGAAGTTCCGAGCACTCGACAGCGGCTGACAGAAAAGGTCGATGCGTGGTCGATGCCCGTGCTTGGAGGTACGCACACGGCCACATGTCTGAAGCTGTCTTGTGCCCTGTCCTGAGGCCCCCAGCCCGGAACCCAAAACCCAAAACCCAAAACCCTAAACCCTAACCCCTGTGCTAAGGCTTGGACCAAGCCAATACTTCCGGGCTCCCCGAAGACGAGATCTCTCATCCCGCGCCGAATCCTGATGTGAATGTGAAATTCAGGCCCTGGGTCCTGGGTCCTTTCCTCCCGTATACATTGTGGTACACGACAAGATTGGGTTGTGAGAAAGATGTCTTGAAAGGAAAAGCCATGCTCAAATTGCTACTGACTGCCTGGCTATACTTGATGTGATCTGTTGTTACAGGCCGCTTTCCACGCTGTAGCACGCTTGGTGTGTCTACGCATTACTTAATGGCTTTTTGTGGCAAACTCAAGATGCACTCACGCAGCTTTGGATCAGTGCTGTAAGTGAATATCAGTGCATCGGTACAAATGATGCCAGTTGCTCGACGTCACCTTTGCCAATGCACTTATTGGCAGTTACGAGCTAGTTCCGGCTTTAGGACGACACACGCCGGAAAAAGCCTGGGTTTACAAGTCTTGCTTGGTGAGATGCCAGAAGAAGAAAGCTGACACAAGGCTTGCAATGTCTGAACTTCCCAGTGAGTCCTCCAGGTTCTGAGGGACCGAGACCAACGATGCGCCAAGACCAAGGTTACCTCTGAAAAGCTTGGATCATGACAGGAGGGACCTGAATTTTTGCATCGACTGTCCACGCTGAGAGGAAAGGACTCACGGCCACCGTTGAGGATGCTCGAGGAGGCCGGCAAGTGTTAAAAAACCTAAACCCTAAAGCTATCAGACGGCACATATATGCACTTGCATCACTTCCGAGCACACTGAGTCCCGCGGCGTCGGAAAGAACGGTCAGCATCGACTCTGACGGCACAGCAACTGGGCATGCCAAGGATTGCTGGAAAGGCGGCAGGATGGAGCATTGAAGGGGCCTTAACAACTAGAACAGGGTTTTGGGGTATACTATACTATAACTAATAATAAGGAACTCCCCAAAATAGTATAGGTAGTTATTCAGGCTCCTGTAGTAGCAGCGTTGAAGCCATGATGGTCGGCAACAGAGCTACCCTCTCGTGAGGTTTCCTTGCGCTGGAAACGCAGATGTTATTGTAATATTACATGTCGTTTCTCTGCCACGATATTCCTACATACTGCACCTTATTACTCTAAATCCCATAAGCCCGAATATGTTATAACTTTCTGTCAGGCTCATCCTAAGCATGAGCTTTGAGGGCATGGCAGTCGATGGGCTGCGCAGAAGCCTTCAGTAGCCTGGAGCTTGGGCTTCATTTTTTGTTAAGGTTTAGGGCTTAGGGTAGTTTCTTAAGGCTTACGGGTTTAATTAGTTATAGTTTCTTAGGGCTTCGGGTGCAGGGATTTAGGGTTTGGGGTATGTTTGGGGTGTAGGATGCTGTTGGAGGTGATTTAGTTTGGGGCGTGGGCCTTCCATAAGGCTTGGCGCTTCGAAGGCTTTTGCAGATGAGGGAATGGATAGGGACGAGTAAACATGAACAAAGGAGTCAGGACTAGGGCCCCTCGGATGCACGGACGCGCCGCGACTTCTGCATTGCACCGGAATTGAATGCCCAAGGCACCGAATTTAGAGCCCCTCCAAGCTCTGGTATCTGTCCAGCATCAGCGGAGCCACACCGAATGACATCATCTACTACACTGCTGCTGTTGCTACTACTACTACTACGACGACGACGACGACGACGACGAGGACGACTACGAGGACGAGTACTTCGGATAGTAACAGTAACCATCACTGTTACTACTGCTACACTGTAACTGCTGTTACATGTACTACTACCACCACAACCACAACCACCAGCACTGTTGTTGTTGCTCGTGCTTCCGTTGCTGATGCTGCATTTACTGACTATTCTTGTGACAGCGACATCTGCAGCTTCTACTAGGGACTGAACCATTAGAATAAGGCTGTGGGATACCTTCAAGCATACAAGTAATAAGGCACCTTATAAGGAGTAAGTCGACTACAAAACTAATGAGTACGTATTTAGGCCGAAACCCGCTCTGAGGCCGCGCGCAAGGCAGGGAGCCCCGCCAGGGTCTTCCGGTGAAGATGCAAGGGTGTCAAGGAAGGGGTAGCCTCGCCTTTCAACCGACACTTCTTGCTGTTGAGCTTAATGCTTAGGGGTTAGCGTTCGGGTCCTGGGTTTCGGTCTCAATCCATCATGACGAGTTCTGGGTTTCGGTCTCAATCCATCGTGACGACATACTGACAGCACACGGTGATTCACCGAAATCCTGGTTGCCACCCAGCGAGCACGCAGCCCTGGTTTTGCTGCCGCACTGTGCCGGAACACACAAAGTGCTGAGCAAGCCTTCGTTGTACTTCACCATCTTCGGAAGCTCCATAAAGCAAGTGCCCAGTTCCTGCAGTTTAGGGTGTACTGCTTACAAGGAAGAAAGGTATTCATCAGGACATGCAAGGTACACATGCACTGGAAACTCTTCGGCACAGCTGTCTACATGTGTTGTTGTTTCTAGGATTCAGAAAAATTCAGAAAACTGCCTGCCCTAAAACTTTTGCAATCCAAGCTGGAGACTTACTCGATGGCACACCCAGGCAACTCTTTTCTTCGAGGACCATGATCCTTGAACACATGCCCGTCCCTGTCCCTGTGCAAGCTCAATCCCGTACACCCTAAACCCCACAGTGACAGTGATCCTGCTTCTGCGCATAGTATCTGCGTCGCTCCAGGAAGCCACTAGCGTCTCCCTGCATGGTGCAAGCTTGCTACGACTTGCGACTTGCAGATTAAGTGGCAAATGTCCATGCTTCAGTAGAGCAATTGGCAAAAGCGGCTGCCAGTCACACCAGGCTAAACTTTCCTACCCATTGGCCCCATAGTAGCTCCTTTTTGAGATGACCTTATAGGATTCTATATTTGAACCCCAAAAGGGAGCTACTTTAGGGCCTATGGGCAAACCCTGATCTAGTCTGACTATCCAGGCCCTGTTGCCCAGCCGCCCCCCCATGAAGCAAAATTTAAATACCAAGAACTTCAGGGAATGGAAATCTCATCTCACGTCAGCAGTCGCCTGATTCACCTCTACATACAGCGAAGTTCCAAAACCCGGCCTCAAACCCTACGTAGAGGCCTTCATGGTTAGACTAGGGCTTTGGGGTACGGTATAGTGTACCATAACTTACAATATGGAACTCCCCAATTAAAATAGTATAGGTAACTAATTATAGCTAGGCTTCGATAGTACGCCCGATGCTGCGAAGCAATTGGCCCAAAGGTTGCAGTCAACGCAGGGCAACCCCTTTGTGCCTGAGTGAACAAGTGGGCCGCTAGGCCCTCTGCAGCAGGACGCAGCCTTGTAACGAAATTATACAGCTATTATAGGGCCTGGGTTTTGATTCAGGGTGGGTTTAAGGCTATGCCTTCTGAAGAACTTATACAGCTTTTATGGGGCCTGGGTTTTGATTTAGGGTTTAGGGCTTAAGGCTATGATGGTTTAAGTTTCGAGCAAAAGGGCGCTCGCAAAGTAGAAGCTGGAGCAAGTAGCCTAAAGAGTTCATCTGCGCAGTCCTTGCGAGACCTCTGGGTAATCGGAGGATGAGAAATATGCTTTGGCAGGCTGCTGAACTCTGGCAAAATGTAAAAATCAAGCAATCCTACGCGTACCTCTTAAGTCTCAACCCTCAGCTCGCATGCCAGCACAAACGACATCAGACCCTAAACCCTAAACCCTAAACACAGCCTCACAACTTGGCACCCCAAATCCCAACACCCCAGAACCCTCAACTCACCTCAGGCAAGTGCATACCCGGCTCCGCTACATTGAAAGAGAGGCCACCAGACCAAGCACAAAGCTCCTGCACTGTCCAGCGTTTTGGGTCACTACTTCTTTAGGATATTGAAATCACGAATGTAGGGCTCATAGGGATACTCAAACTCCAAAGGTCCATGTACTGAAATAGTATACACTTTGGGTACAGGGAACCCACATCCTCCAACACCTGCAGCTTGATAACACCTGTGGTCATTCTCGGTTCTTGTTACTGATTTTTTTAAAGTTACAATAATAGGGATCTATAGTAAATAATATGGTTTCCTTATTATGGTAAAGTAAGTTAAGTCCCTTAGCAAGAACCCAGTAGGTTCAGTGCCGGGTTCACTCCTAAACCTAAACCCTAAACTCTTCAGGGCTTCAAAACTTAGGAGTCGTCGACCTCACTTACAATCCCTGATGCAACCTACTGTCGAAGTTGCTGAGGAACATGAACCGTGCATGTAGACACACTACTGTACAACTTTATTAGAATCGTAATTTAAATTTTAGATGTCTTGGAGTTGCTTTGGAGCCTACTTGCAGCATAGTACAACAAAGCAAAGACTACTACTCCTTGTTCGAGAATAAAAACAACCCAAAGCACTAAAGTCCCCGAAGCCCTAAGCCCCAAAAAGCCCTAAACTCGGATTCTTTTCAGCCTGTTTCCGAGTTGTCACACCATCAACCCTCCCCGTAGAAAACAAGCGTAAAGAAATCAAATTCTTCCTGTGCTTTGCGCTGCAGCACCGAAAAATAATAATAGTGGTGCACTTCTTCGAAGTCAACATGCTCCAGCGCGAAGCATCGCAGAAAGTGTGAAACAAGTGTACAACACTCGGGCCTTAAAGCGTGTTTAGAAGCATTTTATCGTCAAATTCGCTGCTTACTCGTCTGCACGGCAAAAGTTTCAAAGTGCACGCTCCAAGCTGGAGAAGCAGGTCACCCTACCACCCTGAACCTTAGAAGCCTAAAACCCAAAAGCCCTAAACACTAAGCCCCATAGTCGTTCTTTTTTGGGATTCCCTAATAGGATTCTAAATATGAACCCCCAAAAAGGAACTAGTTTAGGGCCTATGGGTAAACCCTAAGCCCCAGCCCCTAAAACCCAAAAGCCCTAAACCCAAAAGCCCTAAACCCAAAAGCCCTACACCCAAAGCCCTAAACCCAAAGCCCTAAACCCTTAAACCCTAAACCCAAAAGCCCTAAACCCTAAACCCTGAACCCTAATTCATGAACCCTAAACCCTAAACCCTAAACCCTTAAACCCTAAACCCAAAAGCCCTAAACCCCAAACCCAAAGCCCCCAAAACAGGTCTCTGGAGGTCCGATCCTCCAGGGCCGCCAAGCGCTCCGAGTTGAAATCCGATCCAAAGGTCACGGCCTTTTTTGGGCGGCTTAGGGTTTCGGGGTTTTGAGGGTTTAGGGTTCAGGGTAGAGGGTTTAGGGTTTAGGGTTGGGGGTTTAGGGTTTAGGGTTGAGGGTTTAGGGTTTAGGGGTTGAGGGGTTGAGGGTTTAGGGGTTGAGGGTTTCGGGGTTGAGGGTTTTAGGGTTGAGTGGTTGAGGGGTTGAGGGTTTAGGGTTGAGGGTTTAGGGGTTGAGGGTTTAAGGGTTGAGGGTTGAGGGGTTGAGGGGTTTGGGGTTTAGGGTTGAGGGTTTAGGGTTGAGGGTTGAGGGTTTAGGGTTGAGGGGTTTCGGGGTTGAGGGTTTAGGGGGTTGAGGGCTTAGGGTTGAGGGTTGAGGGGTTTAGGGTTGAGGGTTGAGGGCTTTAGGGTTGAGGGTTGAGGGCTTTAGGGTTGAGGGTTTAGGGTTTTGTGCGGGTTGAGGGTTTATGGTCTGGGACACTATACTGCTGTACATACATACATGCATACACGCAAAC